TGAGGACGTTTTTAGCAAAGGCCAGCTTAGGAGTACCCTAATTAAGTTAATAACAATGTACCTACCTATATAGTTTAAGTTTAAAAAATTTGGCTCTCAAAAGAAATTTCAATCGTTGTACTGTTGATATTTGGCTCTGTTGACTAATGAGTTTGCCGACCACTGCTCTATAGCAACAAAGATTGAAACAGACACAGTAGCAGAAACTTAATGAAAGTGCATGTAGCAGTAAAAATTGCATAATCCAATACTACTAACTTTATGGGTTTAACTATTAACTACAATGACTGTAAAGAACAAGTTAAAGAGTTAGACATAGTACTAACTAGCCTCTGATATATCTTACTTATATTGATTCTATTCTAAACTCTGAAGATACCAGACTCACAGCAATTGGGTAGCAATTTTTGTTCTTAGCTATAGCTTGAAGTCTCCTCTAAACTCTTACAATTTGTTCACACAATCAAGCTATCTGACATACACAGCAGAGCAATTACAATGTTATGTATATAAATGTTCCCTAGTTTTAATTCAAAAAAGTGGGAAGATTCTGTACATATCGGCTATAAAAAAACTACACTATGCTGTTGCCTAAATAAAACTGAAATGAGATACTATCAAACAAAACATAACTAATTTGTATTAATAATGTATAGCATACTGGAGACCCAAAAATCAAATCCTTGCTTATATGGTCAATTAACGCCAAAGGAGGTAAGAATATACAATGGGGTAACGACAGTCTTTTCAATAAGTGGTGCTGGGAAAACTGGACAGGTACAAGCAAAAAAAATGAAATTGGACCACTTTCTAACACCATATACAAAAATAAACTCGAAATGGATTAAAGAGCCCTAGTCAGTTTGGCTCAGTGCATATAGTGTTGTTGGCCTGTGGACTGAAGAGTCCTGGATTCAATTCCCAGTCAGGGCACATGCCCAGGTTGTGGGCTCAATCCCCAGTAGAGGGTGTGCAGGAGGAAGCCGATCAGTTCTCTCTCAACACTGATGTTTCTCTCGTTCCCTCTCCCTTCCTCTCTGAAATCAATAAAAATGTTTAAAAATAAATAAATAAAAACAGAGCTTCCATATACCCAGCAATTCCACCCGAGTATTTATCTGAAGAAAACAAAACACTAATTCGAAAAGACATATGCAAAAATATTCCATTTAAACATGAGCCATTAAGATTCAGCCCTCGACCCCTACCTTGTGAACAGGTGGTGAGATCTCATCTTCTTGGGGTCTTTTTAGTCCTCTTTTTAAAATGCTACTGGATGGAGAAGCCAAAGGAGACCAGATACAGCGTGCCTGCATGCCACTAGGACTCTCAGTTGCTGACAGAAGTAAAGGATCAAATTCGTTTAATTTTTGAGGAGATGCATTATTGTCTTCTGTTATCAGTTCAGAGGTATCTCTTTCAGATACCAGAGACTGTGATGTTTCCTTCACTTTCTCTGAAGTATGGTGAACTTCCTGTAAAGTTTCACCACCATTTTCCACTTTCAATAGGTTGTCATCTAATTTTACTTCTTCAGGTTTATTAAGTACAATGCTTGTTTCTGTTTTATTAGAGTTAGCTTTTCCTTCTTCAGTGTTCACCTTAAGTGTGTTAGGGAAAATGTCGCCAATTTCTATATTCAATCTGTTTGTTTCAGCTTCTGTCGACTTTGATGCCTTGGTAACTAAGTCTTCATCCTCTGTTTCACTGACAAGGTCAGTTTCAGCATTCACTTCACCAATTACTCTTTCTTCATAATTGTCCACTTCAGCATTCATTTCTTCAGATGAGCCTGGATCAGATTCATCATTTCCTCCGTCTTTTCCACCAACTGCTATTTGTTCAGAAACTTCTAACTGAGCTCTTACTTCTACAGGTGTGGTATTATCAGGATGACCAATAGCTGAATTAAATTCCTCAGTTACTGCTTCTTCAGCAATCAGTACTTTAGCTGCATCTGCTTCAGATTCATCACTTCTTGTACTGTTTTTCTCTGTTGCCTCTTCCTCAAAAATACCCGTTTTGGTACTCTTTTGTTCAGAGAAGCTAGCTTCAGGCTTATCACATTCTGCATCCAATTCCATAGCTTCTACTTCTGGATTGAATTCTCCTTTTACTTTACATGCATCTGCTTCAACATTAACAATGTTCTCTGTACTTACTTCCATTTTTAGTACAGCCTCTGGCTTTTCTTCTTTGGTCTCCAAATTAGAACATTCCAGTGAAATATCTTTGGAATCACCTAAACATGGGCCAACAGTCTTATATTTTTTATTGGATGGCTCTTGGCTTTCAATCGATATTGCTTCCTTAAAATCCGTATCACACATTTCTTCTTTAAAATTTACTATTTCAGAAGGAAGAGAGTCTTGAATATCTTTTTCTTTCAACTCAGTTTCAGGTACAATTAATGAATCAATAGTGTCATTCTCCTCCTTGAGACCCAAATGAAAATTCACACTATGACACTCATCTGGAAGTTTAGCCTCAGGGTGAATATTACCTGTAGAAGTCTCTGATATAGTTACAGGAATTGGCACATCTATCTTTTTGGTTTCACTGACCTTTACATTGTAATTTTCTGTATTTGTCAACCCAAGGGGTGACTTTTCTTGAGGTTGTGACTTTTCTCCACAGCAATCACAACCTTTAGATCTCCTTACCCTCCTACTTCTCTTGTGTCGGCATTCAGGCGTTTGAAAAGATTTTTCAGAAGGCAAAAAACTGTCTGATGTGTCTATTTTTGACCCTTCTTCCACATTATTTTCTATGGAATCTCGCTTATGTAACCTCTTATTGGCATTTCTAGTCCTTAGATTTAATTCTGATACAGAATTTGAAGAGGAATAACCTGCACATTTGTTAGTTTTACTTTTTTCTTCAGAAGTACTTGATATATCACAAACTAGCAGCAAATCTGAAGATACTGTAGAATCTTGGAGAGCTACAGTATTATTTTCATCTTTGTTTTCACAAATCTGAGATTTTATATTTATGTCTACTTCTGAATTTGCTTTATGATCATGTATCTGACTTTCAACTTGTAGACATTCCTGTTTTTCCATTTTCTCTTCTTGATCTTCAATGTCAACACTGTCACTGTTTTTGTTTTTCCATTTTCCAGATCTCTTCTTTCTAGAACTTTCCTCCTTTGCCTCAGAATTATCAGATTCGGAGTTTTCAATGCTGGAAAGTAAACCCTGGGATGCTCTCCTTGTTTGATACCGTGTCCGTCCCCTTACTTGTTTCTCAGAGGACTTATCTGCAATATCCTGGCCAGCATCTCCCTCAGATTTACTATTCTCAAGGTCTGGCTTTCTTCTATTTTTTTCAATTTCAGCATTAGTGCTGGTTTCCCCTAAAGTCTTCTCATGTAAAGTATCTTTCTCAATTAAATTTTCCTGTACAGTTTGTTCAGAAATCAGTTTTTGCTTAGGTAACATATCATCTTTTACATGTAACTGACTTTTTTGAAGAGTCTTTTCTTCTTCCTTGTATCTTTCCTTTTTTTGAAGAGTATTTTCTTTATCTTGGCTATCAGTGATAGGCTCTGCTGTTTCTGAACGTCGCCTTAAAGAACGTCTAAGGGTTTTCTGATTTGGAGTTATCTGAACATGACTATCCTCATTTACCATTTGATCTGCTGGTATTATGGCTGGGGGTGTATTTTCTTTGGATTCCAAATTGGTTCCTAAGATTTTCTCCTCTACAATAATACTGTTTTCTAATAAAGCATTTTCTGTTGTTGGTTTAAGCATTGTATCCTCATGTTCCACTGCAGATTCAGAGAGATGAGCCTGATTATCTAACACACATTCTGTTTGATTAAGCAAACTAGCTGGATTATTTTCTAAGGCTACCATGCTATCACTAGATTCCTGAGTACTTTTCTTCTGATCTGATGTCACTAAGAGCTTAGAACTTTTATTCCCCGTTTGTTCAGCTTTACTTGACCTTAGGCCTGACCGCTTATTTCCATGCACTATTTTTTCAGAGTCAGATTTTGAAAGACCCACTTCTCTTCTCTTTGCTTTCGGTGGAATATCTGTTTTAGCCATGCCTTCCTGACTATTTTTCACTGTAACAGCTGATGACATATTGTTCAAGGGGGATGGACTAAAAGGTCTATTTTCTGAAACATCAAACTTCTCCAAAGTAATAAAGGTTTGCCTTCGACTTGTAGGCTGTGAGGGTGTTCCAGAATTGGTGATATTAGAAACTGAGCTACTGCTAACACCACAAGTGTTTCCTGTACTAGATGCACATTCAGTTGAAATTTTCTTTGATGACATTAAAGTTTTTTTTCTGGCATTATTATTACTGCTCAGTATTCCGGGATGGGTTTCCTCAACAGAACTACATTCAATGTTTGAAAGAGAAGTCTTTTCAAGATGTTCTTCCATACCACACTTTCCTGTAACATCTTGTGTAATGACAATGTCACCCTTTGTTAGTTCCTCCTGCAGAGAAATGTACATATATATAGATTAACCAGCATACAAGTCTGACTTTCTGGGGAAATTTTAGTGTAATGCCTTAGTAATTCAAAGGTAATCACTGACTTTTGGTATTTTGTAATTACTCCAAAGGTGGTGGTAGACACCCACTAACTTTTTTCTAATGATATTCAAAAAAACCAAATACATTATAACTCATCCACACCCACAGACGACTATAATTCTGCTAACATCTGCGAGTGAAATTTAACAAATTAAACAGCACATCTTAAAATGAATACAATAGACTCCATAATGAAAGTGATTTGAAAACCCCCAAAGTATGTATACCTTAAATGCCATCTTGGAATCTTCCTTCAATTTTTCAGCTAATTTAGGAATTTCCCTGGAATAAATAAACATAAATTAGAGTAGTTTTTAAGTAAAACTTTAAAAAAGTTACTTCAGCAGCTTCCATACTTACATAGACTCTTCTTGACTATACTGAGAAAATAATGCATCTTGTGAAACATCCAGATTATTATACATGGCAGGAATATCACACCTGAAAAATATTTTATAAGTTCAAAATCTGCTATTTCTACAATCAGAAAGTAAAGCCTACAATTCTACATCTAGTTCTCTGAAGAACAATTAAAAAAAATATACCAAGGCTTAGATGCTTATTTTCCATGAAACCATCTTCTTTACCTTTCCCTCCCACACTACACCTCAATAAAGGAACTCAGTTTACAAACCTTCGTTGCATTACTTTGGAGCTGTATACACTATGAAATGTAGTTACCTAGTGAATCTTTTCAGCATTACAATATACTGTAATATAAACAATATCTTAGTTCTAAAGACAAAGCTATAGTTTGGTGCATGAAATCTAAGTGTGACTGCAAAATACTCAATTCAAGATAAAAGGACTACAAACCTCTTTGTTTTGAGTACTTCTTTCTGATGTTCAGTTAGTATTCTTTCCTTTGTTTCTTTTCCTTCTGGAGGTATAAACACAAATTCAGTAGACTTTTCTTCTTCCAAAGGCATTCCACTCTTTATTTTGGGGGATGAAGATTCTAGTTTGAACTATAAATTTTAAAAAAAGTAAATATACATTTGAGTTGCCGAATTATTTGTCTAATATTTCAATAAATCTCTATTCCAACACTAAATTTTTGATAATGAGTAGAAAGTTTTAAGTTCAAAACCACACAACTATAACATTTCTTGTTAATAACAATTAGTACAATGTCCCTTTGTTTCACTGTACCTCTAATACTCAGAAAATAAAAATTATTATATCTCTTTAAAAAGTAGGCAAGTGTGCGTTTACCAACAAAGCATGGGAAATGTTTTTCAGGCCAACACATAGAAATCCTTTTGTTCAAACTGGAGGAGAGTATATCTATGGCTCTCATGGTGAAGTATTAGTCGAGTTCCAGCTGCCAAAATCATATGCCCTACATACCAATAATATAAATCGGTTAAACGGCAACTAGAGAGATATTTAGTTTTAGATTTGAGGTTAAAATAGATTTCTTATCTAGGCATTTTGTTTGTATTCAATGATATAAGTTCTACAATGTTTTCCTCTTATGCTGTTACAGCTATTCAAATCTAGTTTCATTCCATCTCAAGAAGGCTGCTACTTAATGGATGCAAAGTATTATGCAGATCTAACTTTATTAAGAAGGAATCATCTCCCAAAGCTTCAAGACATCCATGCCATGCTAATATAGGTCTTTCCAGACCAAACTGATATTCTCCTACAATCCCACTTTTAGTCTTTAACAGCTTTTTCTTCTAGTTAGAAAAAGCTACATATACTTTAAAAGTTCTATGAAATAAACTTTGAAAGAACATACTTTGGCTGGTGATTTCATGTTTTCTTTTGTAACTTTTGGTTGTGCCAGAAAAGAATCTCTTTTTCCACTTGATTTTCTTTCCATGCCACTTATCTTCATATTTAATTGTGAGTTTTCTGTCTGTTTTAGGACAAATAAAACAATATCATTAAGTACAATATTTCTCCTTTTCACGTTTTAAAATTTCCAGTGTAATGAATACTCATTTCAAATTTCTTTTGATTAACTCTAATAAAATCATGTTAATGAAAAGAAAATCACTATTTCATTTAACAGCAAATAGATTTGGTATCTCCAACATATGCAATAAGCTGTTTTGCACCACTTTATTTTATGAATTCTGAAAACAAGATATACCATTACAACAAAAATAAATCAAATACCCCTCCTGCTACTATAAATAGTTCTAAAAGAAAAACCAAAACCATAAAACATTAAGACATTAAACAATAAGCATGAATGATAGAAAATGTTAACTATCATGCCCCTCCCAGCAGACTATATAGGTTTTTCAAGCCAACATACAATCAAAAAGTCTCAACCGTCTATTATTTTTAGCTAAAAACCAAAACTAAAGAGTATTTGATCTTTTGTCTTTTACAGGTTCTAAACAAAAACTAACTAGACTACATTGTTATTGAAGAAATAAGTTGTGTGAGGATGAAGTTGTCTAAGGATGTTCACTTTGTGGGGTATACAATATCCATGCCTTTACTCCTTAATCTTCAGATAGTCATCAGGTATCATTAGCCAAGGTAACTTTGGTCCAATCAATGACATAATAACAAAGATGTGTTTTTCTGACAGAAGGAATGACTCAATGGAAAGAAATGAGAAAATAAGGGTAACTCTTGCTTAGATGTGAACAAATAACTATTACTCCTAGTTTATCTAAACAGAAACATTTAACAACGTATTTTAATAATTTATAGCCTTTGTAAAACAGCACACATGATGTACAGTAATTCAAAAGAGATCATTAACGAACATGCAGAGCTTACACACACAAGAATCTATGGTGAAATTTACTGCCCTTCACTCATGAAAGTATTTCAAGCCAGACAACTGACTTTATGGAAAAAAATCCTATATTATGAAGTATCTCTGTTCAGCTTGTACTTGCTTATCACTTCAATAAATTACACCGAAACCCAATAAACTAACTAGTCATTCAAAAGCAAAAAAAACAAACAAAAAAACAACTCACTGCATCCGAATATGGTCCACTGGATTCCTCCATAATTTCAACATTTTCCAAACCAGGCAACAGCAGCAGAAATTTTTCTTTGGCTTGTCTTAGTATAGGTCTTTTAAAAAAGTACACAAATATGCATTCCTTCAATCAAGTAGTACTGGTGAATATTAGTATCAACAAGAACACTTTAATTATAATTTTAAAGTGGCAAAATGACATCCAGCTTAAAGACTACTTTATCCTCTACAAACACAAAACTGAGAGAAATTATTGGCAACATTTAATGTTTTTTGCTAAATTCTTCCATTTCCAAATTTTCTTTATAAAAAATTTTTTCAAATTTTTATTGCAGAAAATGTCAAGCAAGGGTAGACTATATTATTACTTTATGTACCCAAGTGCACATCACCCAGAAATAATAACCATCAATTTCCTGACCTTTGTATTTCAAATTGCTTTTTATTTTCCTAAAACCAAGAGGTTACTACTCTGAAACCCAAAGAAAGGGTCAAATGTTTAATAATTAGCAGGTACTCCACATAACAACATTTCAACTAAGAAACCTCTGCAATAATTCCTGACAAGAAAAATTTTTTAAACTAAAAAGTGAATGTACATGATCAATAAAGTAACTACGTAAAGTTAGCATACTTTAACTCTTCAGGATAAATCAACGTCGTCACTTTAGCAAATGTGGCATTCCAGAACTGAGCACTCTGTTTTCGAATCTGCTTATTCTTGTGCAAAAATATGATGCATAATAATGGAGAGATCTTTTCAAGAAGTTCACTGTCGTAAGTCCCAGTGTAGCTGAAGTGTAGACAAGCAATGACTTCTCCGAGTAGCTTTTCTAACTAAGAAAAAGAAAAAGCTTATTAGGATAATACTTGAAAATGTACCGATTACAGCAGAAAAAAATAAAAGCACAAAGCATACTAAACTAAAATACGCACAGAACATGTGACTATTTCAATCTTTAAAATTCAAATAGCTACCGAGAACATTCCAGACCCGCAGAGCCGTTAAGGCGAAGCAGCTATGAGCCCGTGAGCTATCGCGGGACTTGGCACGGTCTGGGCGGCGCCCGTGAACAGCCCGTGGGCAGGCGCAGTTGGTGCGGCCTGAGCTACCTGTCCCAAGCCTGTGGGAGGTGGGAGAAGGCCCGGCCCGGCTAGGGAAGGGTGATGGGAGGCCGGGTTGTGGGAGCAGGAACGCGGGGACGTTTCCGAGGCCGCCAGGGTGCAGGGTGGCTGGCGAGGCAGGCCTGGCCCGGGAGGCCTGGCGCTACTTAAAACGCATGTTCCCGCGCATGCGCGCAGTAGGTAACAGCCCTGTGTCTATGCATGTATATGCGTGCTTTTCGATATGGAAAAAATGTAAAAAGGATTCCTAAAATAACGCTTACTACTGAACAATGGGGTTAAAAGTGGTTTTTAAAACAATTTCTGAATTTTAGTAATGAACCTTAAATAATGCTGCTGGAAATTTAAAATGTAAAAAATTTTAAACTTAATATGGCCTTTTAAAAGCTCCGTATCCATCACCTTCAACATATACTACTTTATAAGCTGACAAATTACCATGTGACTTTAAGATTACTAACGTTAGAACCTTATTTCAAGGTTATTTTCCATTAACAGAAAACTGTTTTCACATCAATTTTAATAGATTGTTTATACAGTTGTATATATAAACAACTGAAACCAGTTACCCTCATAAAGAGATGATAGGAGTTACATGAATTTAAAGCAACATTTTTAAATCCTTCTTTTAAAAAACTATACTTTAAAAAAAGTAAAGCTTTGCTGTGAACCAGCACGATGAAAAAGTGGTCCAGAGGGTACAAATCCATGCTTCTTAAAATGTGGCCTCTGCCCCAGCCAGCTTGGCTCCGTGGTTAGAGCCTGGGCCTGCTGACTGAAGGGTCCAGAGTTCCATCCCAATCAAGGGCACATCCCTAGGTTTGCCGGCTGGATCCCTAGCCTCAGTATGACACTCATCATTGATGTTTCTCTCTCTCTCTCCCTCTTCCTTCCTCTCTGAAATCAATAAAAATATATGAAAAAAATAATGTGTCCTCCGCCCAGCCAGCATGGCTCAACCAGCGTGGCTATGAACCAGGTGGTCACAGTTTGATTCCCAGTCAGGATACATGCCTGGGTTGTGGGGCTGATACCCAGTGGGGAGGCATACAGGAGGCAGCCAATCAATAATTCTCTCTCATCACTGATGTTTTTATCTCTCCCTCTCTGAAACCAAATACATTCTTAAATTAATTTAACTACATGTGAGCCTTGAACAGCAGCATCAACATCACCTGGGAACTTGTCAGAAATGCAAACATTCTCAGGCTCCATGCAACCTCAAGGCTAAAGCCTAGAAGTTGTGCTTTAACAAGATCTCCAAGTAATTCTGCTGCAGGATAAAGTTTGAAGGCCACTGGTATAAACCTTATGGATTTCATAACAGGGCAAGAGGTCCAGAAAGCCTGATTTAATTCTAACAGGTCCAGATCCCTACCCTGCAAACTATGAAAATAATGTATTTCAAACAAACAAAATAAACCATCCTTTGTTTGCCATATTATTAAATGTCCATTAAAGTTGAAGTATAATAATTAACCCCTTTAAAAGTCAGATTTCTATTTAAGGAAGACAATTATTTAAACCCTAACATTTTCATAATGTATGTCTTTTTTTACCTTGTTGTTCATACAACTATACACTTTAGGAACTTCATCAAGCCTGTGAAGAAAAAAAGATGCAGTATCATTTATATGTTAGAAAATTAAACCTAAAAGTATGGTAATGCAGCCATAAAAATGAGACATGCATGTATAGTGATATAAAAATGTACCCCAAGATTTTTTTTAGAAAGGCCAATTATCAAATATAAAGTATGGTATAGACCTATCTTTAAAGAATGACAGAAAAACATCAGGAATAAACCTCAAAGTATTAACATCAGTTATTTGTTTCCGTACTTTTCCCAAAAAAGGTATCAGTTATTTCTGATGAAGCTTAAGAACTATAAAAAAGTTAATAGATTTGAGGCTCTAGTTTGTTCTTTATAAAATCTGTTCCTAAGAGTGGGAATCCCAGAGGGAAGGCAGGGGACGGTGGGAGGGAGGAGGTAATCAACCAAAGAACTTGTATGCATATATGCATAACTCATGGACACAAGACAATAGGGTGCTGAAGGCCTGGGGTGGGCTGCAAGGGGTCAATGGGGGGAAAGGGGGTACATATGTAATACTCTCAACAATAAAGAATTTTTAAAAATAAAATCTGTTCCTAAAACTTTCTGTGAATTTAATTATTATAGGTTATATTATGATTGCACAATATAAACTTGTTATAAAGAACACTGATGAATCCTTGCAACTGTTTTTTAAAAATACATTATTTGCAATTTTTCAGGTTTCTTTAAGGATTTACTTGTTTCAATTAAATGTAAATTAAAACTTTGGGAGATAATTTGTAAATGTAAATGTATATATCCTTTTAAACCAGTAATTTCACTTCTAGGACCCTATTCTGCAGAAAGTGGCAAATGTAGACAATGACTTAAGTACAAATAAATTCAACTGCAACATTGTAGGTTAAGAGGGGAAAGGCTAGAAAAAAGGATATTATGTCCACTAACAGGAATATGGGTTAAGTTTCATGAAGCCCTATGCAGACATTAAAAAGAATGAGATTCTTAGGTGTATGGTGCCAGACCCATATAATATATTTAGTGCATACCATATACCGAATTGCAAAGTAGTATTTTAAATATGCTTTCATATAATAGGTATGCTTATTTGCATTAACAAATCTAAAAAGATATACAGTAAATTGAAAGGGGGTTGGACTAGCATATAAAGGGCTACGAACTCCTACCTCATAT